CGCAGGCAAAAACCCCCCTTTAACCGCAGTCTTGGGCTTTTACATCTTTGGAGGGGAAACGCAGGCAAAACCCCCCCAGACTTAGGCTCTTACTTAAACTCATGACCTTACTTAATCTCACAACTTGGGGGCCCCCTGACTTAAGCTCTTACTTAAAACTCATGACCTTGGCAGGTGGAAAACGCAGGCAAAAACCCCCCGAATTCGTCACAGTCTTGATGCACATCTCTTGAGTCTTGAACCACGTGGTGTCTTGATATCTTGATGCCTTGAGGTCACCCAAGCCCAGCAGTCTCACTGCCGCCGAGAAGACTGCACTACTGAACTACGTACGCCATCCACCTTGCATGCAAAGGCATCCATCCGACCAGCGATCCTCGTACAAGCCACGCTTTCGTCCGATTGACTGACGCCAACTGAAAGCCTAATGCCAAATCTGTAGAGAAACATCAGTGAACTATAACAAATAGAGAAACGGGTACTCGTCTCATGTTATCTGCACAAACTCCAGGGGACGCCGGATCTGGGGTTTCTAGTCCTAGGTGCAAGACAAGTCAGTGAACAGATTTCTGAGACCCTTAGACTTAGAAACTGAAATGCCGGTATTCGGACGACCGAAACGTCTCCTAATAGGCATCTCTACGAAAAACGCCCGCCCTCCTTCGACGAACAGCACGATGCGCCAGCCGTTGGGGCTAGTGAACCAAGTTAGCTTATCGTCATTGCTGACGTCGTCCGCATCGCTGACCTTGGTAGAGACAATGACCTTGACCGGGTGCTGGTGATCGGGACGACAAAAGGCTCCGGCGATGCGGTCGAAAAACCTCGGCACAAGCTTGCTGATGAGAGGAGTGGCCAGTTCGCTCTCATCCTCAAACCCGTACTCTGGTCTCCTGAACCGCGGAAGCGCGCGTCGAAGGTGTCGCATATAAGCGGGAAAGGTGAAAAGCCGGTCTTTTGGAGCCAAGAAATCGTTTGGTGGCTGATGCTGACGCAACTCCAAACCTATAGGGAAACGTCAGTGGACTGAAACAAGTAGAAACGAGGGTACTCGGCTCAATGTCCGTGCCAACCACAGGCGACACTGAATCCAGGTCGTCTAGTCCTAGGTGCAAAACAAGTCAGTGAACAACTTCTAAGGCTCTCAGACTGCGAAACCGAAATGCCAGACAGCTTAGCTCAGTTCGGACCAAAGCGTTTCCTGGCAGAGAAGACGACCCTGATATGGCGCTGACGGCCGCGACGGCGAAAGACGGCGATCCGGTTGGAAAACCTTGGTACAGACTTGCTGACAAAATGAGTGGCCAGTCCGCCCTCATCATCAAACCCGTGCTCTGGCTTTCTGAACCGGGGGGAGCACGTCGATGGTGTTGCGTTTAAGCGGGGAAGGAGGAATTCTGGTCTGCTGTTCATCTCGTATTCGGGTGCTCGCATTCGACTCTATCTACTTATGATGGTTACGCTCTCTCGTTCGATAGCCGACGCTGGCTCGACGCCAAATCTGCAGAGGAACATCAGCAAACTGTAACAAGTAGAGGCACGGGTACTCAGCTCAATGTCCGCGCCAACCACAGGCAACGCCGAATCCGGTTCTTCCAGCCCTATGCGCTAGACGAGTCAGTGAACAATTTCTATGACTCTTAGACTGCGAAATAGGAACGCCGGACAGCTTAGCTCAGTTCTGACCGAAACGTTTTCTGGCAGAGAGGACGACCTCGACTCGGTGCTGACAGCTGTGACGACGAAAATCTTTGGCGATGTGGTCGGAAAACGTCGGCATGGACTTGCTGACGAATGGAGTAGCCAGTTCACCCTCATCCTCAAACCCGTACTCTGGCTTTCTAAGGAGCACATCGATGGCGCCGCGATTAAGTGGAAAGGGCGGGATTCCGGTCTATTATTCATCTGGTCCTTGGGTGCTCACATTCGACTCAATCCGCCCATGGTGGATGTGCTCTCTCGTTCGATAGCCGACGCTGGCTCGACGCCAAATCTACAGATGAACATCAGCAAACTGTAACAGGTAGAGACACGGGCACTCGTCTCATGTTATCCGCGCCGACCACAGGCAACGCTGCCAACGCTGCATCCGGATATTCTTGCCTTAGTGATCGCGGCGAGGGAAGTCCCGGCGACGCGGTCGGAAAACCCGGATACAGACTCACCAGCGAGAAGAGTGGCTAGCTCGTCCTTGTCATCAATTCCGTACTCTGGCTTTTCGAACCGCGGAGGTGCGTCGACGGAATCGCGGATAAGCGGGAAAGGTGGAAACCTGGTCTCCTGGTGGCCAAGCTCTCTCGTTCGGGGGCTGACGCTGACTCAACCCCAAACCTGTAAGGGAAATCAGTGGACTGGAACAAGTATAAACGCAGGTACTCGGCTTAATGTCCGTGCCAACTACAGGCAACGCTGAATCCGGGTCGTCTAGTCCTAGGTGCAAAACAAGTCAGTGAACAACTTCTAGGACTCTTAGATAGTAAACTGAAACGCCAGATAGCTTAGCTCAGTTCTGACTGAAACATCTCCTGGCAGAGAGGACGACCTTGACATGGCGCTGATGGTTGACGAAAGTCCTTGGCGATGTGGTCGGAAAACCTCGGTACGGACCTGCTGACGAAGGGAGTGGCTAGTTCACCCTCATCCTCAAACCCGTGCCTCTGGCTTTCTAATCTAAACTGGGGGAGCGTGTCAATGGTATGGTGTTAAAGTGGGAAAGACGGAATGCCGGTCTAATGTTCGTCTCGTACTCGGGTGGTCGCATTCGACTCAATCTGCCCATGCTGGATACGCTCCCTCGTTCGTTAACCGACGCTGGCTCAACGCCAAATCTGCAGATGAACATCACCGAACTGTAACAAGTAGAGACGCGGGTACTCGTCTCAAGTTGTCCGCGCGGACTACTGTCGACGCTGAATCCGGGTCTCCTTGTCCTACGCGCGAGAAAAGTCAGTGAACAAATTCCTGAGACTCTCAAACTTAGAAAGAGAGGTGCTGGATACTTATCTTAACTCGGTTCGAACCGAAACATTTCTGGATAGGCATGTCCAGCACAACATACAACCTGCTCAAGAGATAGCAGACCAGGATGTCAGTTGTCAGAGCTAGTGAACCACATTAACCTATCGTCGCAGTTGACATCAGTCGCATCGTTGACCTTGGTAGGGAGGATAACCAACGAAAGGCTCCGGCGATGCGGTCCAAAATTGACGAGGAGAGTGGCCAGTTCACCCTCATACTCAAACCCATACTCTAGCTGTGCGAACCGCAGGAGCGTGTCGAAGGTGTCGCATATAGGCAGTACAGGTGGATTCCCGGGTTTCTGCCTACTTTGTACCCGGAAGCCCGCATCCGACTCAACCTACTTCATGGTGGTCAAGCTCTCTCGGTCGGTAAGCAATCCCAGCTCAACTCCGAATCTGTAAAGAAACATCAGTGAACTGTAACAAGTAGCAACACGGGCACTCGTCTCATGTAGTCTGCACTAACCAGAGCCGACGCTGGATCCGGGTCTTCTAGTCCTATGTATAAGATAAGTCAGTGAGCAAATTCCGGAGACTCTCAGACTTAGAAACTGAAACGCTGGATAGCTTAGCTGTGTTCACGTCTCCGGGATAGGCATCTCTAGGAAAGACGTCCGCCCTCCCTCGACGAACAGCACGACGCGCAACCTACTCGAAAGGCAACAGACCAGGGCACCAGTTGTTGGGGCTAGTGAGCCAAGTTAGCTTATCGTCGTTGCTGACATCGTCCGCGTCACTGACCTTGGTAGAGACAATGACTTTGACCAGGCGCTGGTGATCGGGACGACAAAAGGCTCCGGCGATGCGGTCGGAAAACCTCGGCACAAGCTTGCTGATGAGAGGAGTGGCCAGTTCGCCCTCATCCTCAAACCCGTACTCTGATCTCCCGGACCGCGGGAGCGCGTTGAAGATGTCGCGTATAAGCGGGAAAGGTGAAAACCTGGTCTCCTAGTGGCCAAGCTCTCGTTCGGTTGCCGACACTGACTCAACCCCAAACCTGTAGAGGAAAATCAGTGGATTGGAATAAGTAGAAATGCGGGTACTCGGCTCAATGTCCGTGCCAACCACAAGCGACGCTGAATCCGGGTCATCTAGTCCTAGGTGCAAAACAAGTCAGTGAACAATTTCTATGACTCTTAGACTGCGAAATTGAAACGCCGGACAGCTTAGCTCAGTTCTGACCGAAACGTTGCCTGGCAGAGAGGACGACCTTGACTTGGTGCTGATGGCTGCGACAACGAAAGTCCTTGGCGATGCGGTCGGAAAACCTCGATACGGACCTGCTGACGAATGGAGTGGCTAGTTCACCCTCATCCTCAAACCCGTGCTCTGGCTTTCTAAACCGGAGGGAGGACATCGATGGTGTCGTGTTCAAGCGGGAAAGGCAGAATTCCGGTTTACTGTTCATCTTGTACTCAGGTGCTCGCATTCGACTCAATCTGTCTATGGTGAATACGCGATAGCCGATGTTCCTCGACGCCAGATCTGCGTATGAACATCAGCGAACTGTAAATAAGCAGAGCCAAGGGTACTCGTCTCATGTTTATAGCGCCGACCACAGGTGACGCTGAATCTGAGTCTTCTAGTCCTAGGCGCAAAACAAGTCAGCGAACAACTTGTAAGACTATAAACTGTAAACTGAAACGCTGGATAGCTTAGCTCAGTCTGAGTGCAGACGTCTTTCTGGGAGAGTCATTCCCAGAAAAGACGTCCACCCTCCCACCCTTCACAAACAACACTAACGCGCTCGAAAGCCTCGATCGGTGAACCACATTGGCCTATCATCGCCGTTGACATCGTCCGCGTCGTTGACCTTGATTGAAATACGGCCTTGACTCGATGCCGGTAATCGCGACGTTGAAATGCTCCGGCGACGCGGTCGGAAGACCTCTGCACGGGCTTGCTGACAAGAGGAGTGGCTGGGTCGTCCTCATCCTCAACCCTGTACTCTGGCTTGACTGACCGAGGGAATGCTTCGATGGTATCGCGTACAAGCGGGGAAGTAACTCGAACTCTGTAGGGAACATTCAGTGAAACGCGACAAATAGAGAAGCAGGAACTGTGAGGATGACTTTGACTCCACGCTGGTGGTTGCGACGACGAGAGACTCCACTGAGGCGGTCGGAAAGCCTCGGCACAGACTTGCTTACGAGGGGAGTGGCTAGTTCGCCCTCGCTCTCAAACCCGTGCTCTGGCTTCCCATTCCGAGGAAGGACACCGATGGCATCGCGTATAAGCGGGAAAGCGACCCGAAATCTGCAGGGAACATTTAGTGAGACGCGACAGATAGAGAAGCAGGAACTCTGAGGATGACATTGACTCCGCGCTGCGCGACGAAAGGCTCCAATGAGGCGGTCAGAAAGCCTCGGTACAGACTCGTTGACGAAGGGAATGGCTAGGTCGCCCTCATCCTCAAACCCGTACTCTGGCTTACTAACCCAGGGAATGCGTCGATGGTATCGCCCATAAGCTGGAAAGCAACTCGAAATCTGTAGGTAAATTTTAGTGAACTACGACAAATAGAGGAGCAGGGACTCTGAGGATGACCTTGACCCCGCACTGGTGATCGCGACGACGAAAGACTCCACTGAGGCGGATGGAAAACCTCGACACGGACTTAATGACGAAGGGAGTGGCTAATTCACCCTCATCCTCAAACCCATGCTCTAGCTTTCCGAACCGCAGGAGCACGTTGATGGTATCGTGCTTCGGGGGAAAGACGGAATTCTGGTCCACACCTCATCTCGTACTCGGGTGCTCGCATTCGACTCAATTTACCTACTGTGGATCTGCTCTCTCATTCGATAGCCGACGCTGGCTCAACGCCAAATCTGCGGATGAACATCAGCGAACTGTAACAAGTAGGGGCACGGGCACTCGTCTCATGTTATCCGTGCCGACCTCATGTGACGCTGAATCCGAATCGTCTGGTCCTAGGCGCAAAACAAATCAGTGAACAACAAAAAATACGCTTATGTTGCATAATTGAAACGTCGGATAGCTTAGCTCAGCCCGGGTGCAAACATTCTTCTGGAGAGACATCCGCCCCGGGCCTCCTTTCTCGAACAGCCTCAAAAATGCTCGAACGCGTCGAGTCTCCTTATGATGTCTGCACTGCGCGCGGTCTGCTCGAGAGGTAGCAACCCAGGACGTCAAATTGCCGGGGATGGTAAGCCACGTTAGTCTACTGTCGCTATTGACAATGCTCGCGTCATCGACCTTGGTAGAGTGACGATCTTGACCCGGCGCTGGGAATCGCGACGACGAGAGACTCCACTGAGGCGGTCGGAAGCCTGGGCACAGACTTGTTTACGAGGGGAGTGGCTAGTTCGCCCTCGCTCTCAAACCCGTGCTCTGGCTTCTCATTCCGGGGAAGACATCGATGGCATCGCGCATAAGCAACTGGAAATCTGTAGGGAGCATTAGTGAATCACGAAAAAATTAGAGAAGGAGGAACTTTGAGAGTGGCCTTGATTCCGCACTGGTGACCTCGACGACGAAAGACTCCACTGAGGCGGTCGGAAAGCCTCGGCACAGACTTGCTTACGAGGGGAGTGGCTAGTTCGCCCTCGCTCTCAAACCCGTGCTCTGGCTTCCCATTCCGAGGAAGGACATCGGTGGCATCGCGTATAAGTGGGAAAGCAACTCGAAATCTGTAGGGAATATTTAGTGAAACGCGACAAATAGAGAAGCAGGAACTCTGAGGATAACCTTGGCTCCGCGCTGCACAGCGCTAGACTCTAATGAGGCGATCGGAAAGCCTCGGTACAGACTCTCCGACGAAGGGAGTGGCTAGTTCACCCTCATCCTCAAACCCATACTCTGGCCCACCAAACCGAGGGAGTGCGTCGATGGTATCGCATTTAAGCGGGGGGGGGGGGATGGAATCCCGATCTCCTGTCCACCTCATATTCAGACGCTTGTGTTAGGCGCGACCTGCCTTACGACGGATATGCCCTTTCGTTTGATAGCTGACGCCAGCTCAACTCTAAGTCTGTAGAGAAACGTCAGTAAACTGTCACAATTAGAACCACAGGTACTCGTCTCGTTCTCTGCGCCAACCAGAGGTGACGTTGAAACCGGGCCTTCTCGTTCTAGGCGCAAGGCGGTGACCAAATTGGACTGCCAGAAGGCTCAACTCAGTTCGGGCGGTTTGTTCTCCAGATATGCATCTCCAGAAAACGCATCCACCCTCCCTTCGCGAACAGCCTCAGACGCGCTCGAATGCCTCGGGCCTCCTTACGATGTCCGCACGACGCGCAGCCTGCTCGAGAGGCAGCAAGCCAGGACGCCAGTTGTCGGCGCTAGTGAACCACATTAGCGCAGTCTCGCTGTCGACATCGGCCGCGTCGTTGGCATTGGCAGGGAAGACGACCTTGACTCCGCGCTGGTGACTACGACGACGAAATACTCCGCGGAGGCGGTCGGAAAACCTTCGCACGGACTTACTAACGAGGGGAGTGGCTAGTTCGCCCTCACCTTCAGATCCGTACTCTGGCCTCCCAAACCGAGGGAGCGTTTCGATGACGTCGCGTTTCAGCGGGAAAGGCAGAATCCCGCTCTCGAGGGGCAGGAGGACAACCGGCTCGTTAAACGCTATGGTGTACATTGTGCTGTACGGAATATGCAGATGGGGGTTTGTAGTAAATGCGTGAGGTTGGGTAACAATGGTAGGGTCAGAATGCAAGAAGCAATGAGTTGTTTCTCGTTCTTCATACATTATTTATAGACAAATCTAACATGTCTCAAAACCGTCGTATGTTGGCTCAAGCTGAAACGAGGCGATGCCTTATTCTGAACGCAACTGCATAAGTTCGAGAGCATTCTTAAGATACAAATGACAAATAACAATAAATCCTTAGTTTATGTCAGAATATGTCTCATACTTGCAATCAAAGAAGTACAGTTGAAAATGTCTTATTGCATAACGTCGGGAGAGGGCTAAACCCAATGCATTATACAATTTATGCATTATAACAATACATTTTGGCTGAGGACCTGAGTTTTGGTCTGGCCAAAAGTCTATGCATTATGCCATTTATGCATTACGATGTGATGCAATAAGACATTTTCAACTGTATTATGCATTTACAGTGCCGTTCTATCGCCTTAGTTCGGACTAGCCATGAGAATGAGTGGTCATCTAATAAGCAGTCATCTACCGTGGCTGCGTCCGTTTGCTAAATAGGGTCAATGTTCAAAACAAACAAACAACGGCGTTGGTACGGGTGCGGCAGGACAAGTGGATTGACTGGACTGGCAATGACTGTATGCTAGATTATTTACAATCTACGGCTTCCTTCGCCGCACATCGCCGATTGCACGTCAACACTTCTTCGGAGGCACGTCACAGAAATAATGCTAATAGTATTGCGTCCCAAGGATCACAAGACAAGTAAGCATGTGTGGTATTTTGTATTTTCCCAGCAGAGCTTGAGTAAAACATGTGGCCTTCTTCGGAATATCACACATGTCTTCTGCACACCCATAATCATACTCTCACAATCTTGAGACTCTGATTTAATTTCCTTCTTTCAATTAGAATTTCACAGATCAGCGCAATATCGCACTACCCCTGCTTAGAGTGCCCGTCTTCTATTGCTATCCTGTTAGGACCAGTCGAATTATTCAGTTGCATTCCTACTGCCTTATAGAAAGCCTGGTCTCTTGCCTCGTGCTAAGATATCATCATGTCAAAGCACAGCACATGCGAACATACTAAAGCATACATACACTCACTAAAGGACTAAAGGCGGAGATTCTCAAGCAACATACCAATAACACCATGTACACAACTTGAATCCACCTCTTATTGACCCAGATCCAGAAGCAACACGACCTTTGACAAAAGAGCTCAAGAAAAGGATCGGTAGTACAAGTAACATATCGTTCTATATATCGACAGGACTGCACAAACTCACACTACCCATCTTTCAACAGCAAACCACCTAGACCTGATCATCGATCACACATTCCAGACACATAGATAATCTTTCCAGCTGCATAAATTTTAAGACCTGAAGCCAGAAACACCTCGCTATCATCAATCAAAACATCATCTTCAAGTAAAAGGTTAGACAGGAACACATTTCACACGTCTCGAACGTCCTAGATCCTCCCAGCTGTCATCTCACTTACTTGACCAAGTCAAGCTCAGATGTAATCAATGTCAACCTTAATATACCGTTAATGTATGTCGAGCCAACGCGACACAGCGCTCTTTCCTCGGTTTCTTAGAGAGTCCCTCTCCACAGATAAGACGGAACTACCCGAAGCATCCCCGAAGGATAGGTCTTTGCATTCACTAATGTAGTACTTTACAACGTCATCTGTACTCTGGTGGAGATTTGATACTCGTGTATAGTGCGCGCTTAGAGTAGATCAGGCATTCCATTTCGGCGTTAAGAGTACAGAGCGTCATAGTTAGGATCAGGGTCGAAGCAATTCCAATTGCTTTGTAGGCAGGAATAATCCAAACTTCTTGAAAACGTGAAATCAGACTAGGACGTAAATCAAATCTATATGTATCTCGATTTTCAAAGCCACCTATTAGTTCATCCATTCGTACAGTTCAATAGTTCCTCTGTTCGTCTTCCGAAGGAAGTCCTCAATCGAAGCGAAGCGAAATCGAGTCGTATCACTCCGTATCGTACCGCATTAACTCATACCGTCCTCCTGTCCGTCATAACACGCACAATACACCCTGCACCAGCAATCTCTGTCAACTATAATATCCACAAAAATGTACGCATACGTCAGTCAGCCGGTCAATCGGCTTTGCGAAAGGATGACGTTGTACAGCAGCGTACCTTCTCATGCCACCCCAACAACACGCTCCCGCTCACGTCTCCCCATCCGGGCATCGCCATACCCTTATAGAGGTACTTCATCAGCGTATCTTGTGAATCTTGCGGGAGAGATTTGAGGATCCCTGGGATTTCAGTTGCTTTTGTGCTACCAAGGATGGAGAGTAAGGTTTGCAGGTTTGTGTTCTGATAAGATTAATATTATCAGTTCACGGGTTGAATAAGATGAGGAGATGGCATTGTGAAATATCGAAAACGTACCTTCGCCTCCTCGACGTTTGGCCCGTACGGTGCACCTTCCAGGACAATGTTCAGTGCACCAGCTACATCACCTCTAAACAAACAAAACAGATTAATCCGGTCAATCGATAGCCGTATTAATAGAAAATAGTGAAAAGCTCACCTTGCAAGTGCGCTCCTTACAGTGGCTGCCTTGGCTCTCGTATCAGCCAGGACCTGCGCCGGGTCGCGAGGGTCAGCGTCGTACAGCTCCTCTTCCAGTAACACATCCTCGTCATATGCGTCAATGTCGATTTTACGGAAGGCAGTCTCCATTATGGCGGCTCTTTATATGCTGGTGAGGCAGATGTCAACGCTTGGAGAGAACAGAAACAGGTGAAGATTTTATTACAACGCGTCCGCAGTCTTGAGTGTGGTTACCAAAACAGGGAATTTATCATTTCGCTTGATGCCATTCGTCCTCTCTTCACTCCCACCTTCACCTTCACCTTCAAGTGCGATCTCACACGAGGACGGCTGCACAGCAATCACACCTGCATCTCGTAAATCACCATCCTATCATACTTGTGCTTGCTCGCTTGAGGTAATCCCCCTACGTCTAAGGAAGACTAATTGTTCATAATTGCTTTGCGATAACTCAGAGGTTTAGCATTGGATGCAAAAATTCCATAATGTCACAATCTCGTTAAGGCGCAACCTATGTCTATGTCTACGTACAGTCTGAGTCTGAGTCTGAGTCTCTATCTTCAAACGGAACCTCCCTATCTACTACCTGTCCACCCGTGATGCCCTCATGGACGGAAATGAATGCCTTTCTTTCATTCGAGCAATCATAGATCGTGGCCAGGTCATCCTCCTCCTCTAGTCCTTCATATCCTCTTCGGGATCAATGTAAAACTTGAATGTGCAAAGGGCATCCGTGTATCCATCCCAGTGGTCCATCCGCTCTCGGTCTTCCTCTCGACAAATCTGGATCCGATCGGGACTAACTACGCGAACTACTGACCCGACATGCTGAAGCAACGAGGATCTGTTAGCCGAAGAAGACCCTTTCACTCGGTCTCATCCATACATGCACATGCATCTACGCACACGCATGCGACAGGCGACGGGTTCTACGGACATAAGTACTTAAAGGCATGGGGGTTGTCTCGATGCCCTAGCCTAACCAACCGTCTGTGTACGCAACCACGCTCATACCTATTAGCGAACTTTCACACCTACACTTCTCGTCCTTCAACACATCTCACTTCACAATGTCAGCCTCCTCCATGCTCGACGCCTTCCGCATCAAGCCCTTCGACCTCGACGCCCTCTACGCATCCTGGACGTCCCCACCCATCTTCTCCGGTAAACCAAAGGACGACCCCGTCGCCTGGCTTGAAGAAATCAAAGCCGGCTGTAAAGAGCGCAAAGTCCCCAAAGACATGTGGCACCGTGTCGGACGGCACTACATGGGTCCCAAACCCCGCGAGAGACTCGACGAGCTCGGTCGAGTCATGCAGCAGATGACTGGGAAGGAGAATGTTTGGAATTGGAAGAAGTTTAAGATCGCGGTGCAGAATATTGGATGTACGTCAGACGTTCCATTTTCCTTATTTCTCTTCTATCATCCTAGAGTAGAATGCTAAGACGGAACGTTTTGATAGGGAGCTCACAAAGTCCGAAGTCCAAAACCGTCAGCCCACCAGTGACCGAACGTCCGATGCCGAAGAAACAAGGCAGCTGGTGGGTCATTGGGAAGAGCGACTCGGACAAGGACAAGGAACACAACGAGAAGGATAAGTCAAGCAGTAGTAGCAGCACCGAAGTGGTCGTCGCAAAGACCGCACCTCCACTATCCATCACTCCTAACGACGCAGGTCCGTCATTCTCTCCCCATTCTCATTCGCTCAAGCCCTAACTCTTAATCAATCTCATTTTCTTATATCTAGCTGCGCTCACAACAGTAACCAAAGCCCCCGCCTGGCTCGTCAACGCCTGCTCAGCACTCGAGTTCCTCACCGTCGAACATCCCAAGGTCATGTCTGCCATGTCTGCCGTCCTCATCACCGTCGGCTCCCTTCCCGCCATTCCCGGTGTCGGCGTCGGCCTACCCATCCTCGCGACTGGCGCAGCCCAGGCTGTTGGCGCTGCTGCAGTAGGAATCGGTCAGTGTTTGAAGGCGGTGAGCGACAAGTCTCAGGGGCAGAACGGACAGGTGGCAAGCAACTGAAGATAGTTTGACTTTTCTTTTCGACTTCGTAACGTTTTACGGAGAAACGGCGAATGCTGGACGTCCGCCAATCCAGCTTCTTACAAGTTACACCCACAATCACAACCACCTCTATAACTAACGTTCCTCCACCTCACTTAACCCTCGAACCACCTGTATTATGACTTTTTATTACCCCTTTCTTTCCCATCTTTCCCATTTTCTCTTTTTACACTCCTAAATACTTACGCGCATACGTATATCATCCTCAGCACAGAATCCACACACATCATTCATGTACTCTTCATCCTGTCCATACCGCTCAAATCAATATAAATGCAATAAATCCATAAATTGTATAGCATACAGTATACAGCATATCCACGACCAAACCATAAGTCCTTTAGTACATACTTTGAATATGCATCACAATGTATGTAGGGGGTCATCTAAACTTACAACTTGCATCGAAATCCACAGTCACCTCTACAAATACCGTTCCTCCTCCCTGAGTAACCCTCATACCACTTGTATTATAACTTTTTATTACCCTTGTCTTTCCCATTTTCCTTCTTGCTCCTAATTTGTTTCTCATATACGTATACATTCTCAGCACAGAATCCACACTCATATACTCTCAATGTCTCATCCCATCCATCCCATCCGCATCAATATAAACGCAATATACGCAAAAAAAGCAAAAAAAAATCATAAAATCATAAAAATCATATATAGCATACAGCATATCCACGACCAACCCACATCTCCCATCTCCTATCTACTAAGTATTACATACGCATACGCATGTAGGGTATCTAGACCAACGTCGAACGAGCAGCGTCGTATACTGTACACATAACCACATAACACACAAAGCAATCAAACACTAAAGAAAGAGAGGATAAATCGAGGAATGAAAAGAAAGAAAGAAAGTATCAACACGTAAAAGTCGAAGGTAGGATGTAAGGGGTAGGAAATGGACGGTAAACGGCAGACGGTAGGAAGTGTAGAATGTATAAGATAGAAACCGCTACAGGTACCCTATCGTATGATAAACAAAAAACAAACAAACAAGATCAAAGAGAGGAAAGAAGCAATTCCGCGACAGCAAAACATGAGCTACTATACACTTTAATTTCCAAATCAAGGAGGAAAGAACGCTTAGGGCATGGTAGACCATTATTGACGGCAGCGCGATCTTGCAGTACGAGAATGAGAATATTAAATATAAAAAGGACGAGACGTCTTTGGAACGAGGAGGAAGTTCTTTAACACGAACAACCTGTCAATTTCAATAATTAATAAACGCTAAATCAAACAGGAAAACTCCAGAGACAACGTACATTGCTTAACAATTCCGCATCTAAACCTCTTACCCCCTTCTCACAACAGCCTCCGCAAACGCAAACGCAAGCACAACACCAGAACTAACAACCCTCCACTTAACCCCAAGCACATCCAAACTCCTCGCAACCTCTACATCCCTCTTCTCCACAAACACCATCTTCGGGAAAACATTCACAAAATTCGCCGCCACCCTTATGATCGCCGCGCTCAACACGTCGAATTGCCATTGCTCTCGAGAGGGGGGAGAGTGAGGAGGAGCAGGGGATGGGGATGAGAATGATACGAGGTAACCAATAATCGCTGGAAGTACGATAGTCGGGATCCCCCAATACATCGTCGCCAAAGCAGTCGCGCTCAACGCAGGCTGTGATGAAGTGTATATCGGTGGGATAGGGAAGACCGAGTTGACATGTATGTTATACAAGATCGCCAAGAATTCCAAAGCTGTAGACAAGACGAAAATATTCCGACTATTCGACAAATACTATATCCAGTCAGAAGAACCAACATAAGTTTCAACGTTTACGGGGATAGAGATAAGAACACCCACTGCACGCGTAAAAGCCACCTTCTGCAAAACATTCCCCACAAAGTTTCTCTGCACACCAAGAGCAGCCTGAGGTACAGGTTGCTCCTTCACCTCCTCCACAACACTCTTCGCCGGAGACGACGGGAGCGGTATGTTCCTCGGCGACCTCCTGGCAGGCGAAGCCAACGCCATCGGGGACAACGACACCCTACTCTCCGCAATAGTCGTACTCGGCGGAGGAGTCATCGCCCTCTCCTCCGCAATCGGCGTAAACTTCGGCGCCTCCGCAACATACGTCGAACTCGTATGCGTAGGCTGCACACTTCTCTGCCTCCTCCCACCGCGAGTGGTGTATAGTCCAGCAAACGCCGGGTCCCCCTCAAGCTCCCCGCTATTATCATCCAAATGTTTCTTAATCCGTTCCTGCAGCACTTCGCGCGTGCCCCTGTCGTCTATCCCTAGCGCCTGCGCAATCTCCTGCAGGTCACCTTTTTTCTTGACTTGTAGTGAGCCGGAGAATATCGTAGACATTTCTGCGATGTGTAAGTTGTTGTAGTAGAAGTGTATCCAAAAAGTTGTCACTGTATGCGCTATACGGAGTAGCAGACAATGGGAGATGGAGTGTGCTGGTCAAGAAGCAAGGAAAGTTGAAGTCGCGTCGTCGCGAGTCTGTGAGTGATTCGCGCCTGCACGTGATCTCCTCATGTTCGACACAACCACTCATCAAACACGAACATAGATTAGATCAATTCAATACACTTGTCTTTTCAAAAATACATCGCACATTAATTATATACATGCATGCGGGGGTCATTGCACTATTCGTTCAAAATACATCAAGCCAAACCGAACAGTCAAAAGAAAGAAAAAATAATCATGAGCACAGACAGGGTATCCCTCATCACACATGCGCATGCGTACAATTCGCACAAAGCCCATGCCCTCTAAATGGGTCCTCAACAAACTCCCCACACCCACACGTAGCACACGCGTCAAACTTGGCCGTAGTCGTAGTTGCAACAGCATCAAAACTCAACTCACTCTGACTCTCAAACGGCGAACTCGTATCCGAATGCGCCTTTCGATCCATCAACGACAACTGAGGTGTAGCAAGACTCTGCAGTGCCGCGTTCGACGAATGCGTCCGACTCGGTAACACAGGAGCTACAAGGTTACGAACCGGTAACGGCGGAGGCAAATTGCCCACACCGTTACTCGTCGTTTGCCGTCGAGGCGGCGGCGGTGGCGGCATCCTTTTCACAGGAGACGGACTCGGCGAGTGGGAAGTCGCGTTCAGAGGTGGCTGCTGCTGCTGGACATCCAATTTCGCCAAAGAAGTCGACAGCCTTCTATCAAACTCCGCATCATCAACAAGGGGGCCCGACCGGCCATCATAAGGAGGAATAGCAGCATCCGCAACATTACGATCCCTTTCACCGAGTGGCATCACCATACCGGATGGCACCGCCGCGCTGCCACTGCTACTTCGATTCCTATCATCAAATGGATGCCATCCATTGATACTATCTCCATCATGTTCATGCTCATGCTCCTGCTCATCCTCGGTCATACTCAACTCCGACTCCGACGGTTCAACAAGCGTCCTTCGGATCTCCTCGTCCTCCGACGAGAATTTGCCTGATCCACGTCCTAACGCCAAGATACTCGAATTGCTCGTATTCTTGAACTTCGTCCCGGAGTATTCGACAGTTTTGATGAAGATCGTATAGTTCGCCGGGAACAGTCCCTTTCGTCCACCAATCTCCCCAAGCCACCAGTCCTCAAGCACTTCGTTGACCACAACGATCTCATCTCCCGCCTTGAAGCTCAACTCGTCACTGCTCCCAGAGAAGTCATACAACGCCTTCATGACCCTCCTCACTCTTTTACTCGAACCACCATTCTCCACCGCACGATCTTTCGACTGCGATCGACTCTTCCCACCGTTCGACTTGTCGCTCCTCGTCGATCGGTTGGACAACCTTCGCTGCTTCCGTTGTGCACCATTCTTCTCCACCCCCTCAACTTCATCCTCGTCACCCAAAGCAGCGAAGTTCTCCACATCCGTATTGCGAGACTTGTTCCTGCTCATGACGCTCGACATCGCGTCACCCATCCAGCCCGTAACACCACCACTCCCAGAAGCCTTCTTAGCCTTCCCATTGCTCTTCGTCGACACAGCGTCGTCCGTCGTCTTGTCTGTGACGATCGCACCGATGGTGGTCACAGACGGGTTGCGAGAGTGCGCGTTAGAGCTCCGGGTAGACCTTTTGCGAGACAAACGCGAAGATGATCGCGAATGCGGAGTCTCAGCTTCAGATTCGCTAGAAGATTCGTGCTGATTCGTGGTGCTACGAGTAGACGCGCTCTTCTTCGAGCTCACTGACAGCACCGAACGGCTGGAACGATGCGAGCCGAATCGAGACGAGGCATGCGGCGCTTGCTTCGCATCAGAACTCTTCGAGTCTGTACTCCTCGTAGACGTTCGACTAAACTCATGAGGAGTCGAGAACGCCGAAGTCGGTCTTCTCAGATCTGCGTAAGTGCTAAAATAAACTGTAAGCGACACGATGGACAAGTAAGATTGCAATCATTACGCACTCTGGTTCAGGCCACTCAGACTTGACCTCCTTCAGCACCCCCAAATACTGTTCCACAAACTGCGTTTCCACCCGCAAGAAACTCTCCAACTCCCGCTGATGCTCAACCTCCCCCTCTCTTATCTCCTCCATCCTCGCACGCACATCTTCCCCCATCTCCTCATACCTTGCTTTCGCCTTCGCAAGCTCCTCCTCAGCTTCCTTCTTATCCTTCTCCTTCTCCTTCTTGTATGTCTTTTCAGCTTTCGCGATGGCTGCGTCGTATGCAAGCCGACGCGATTCTAGCTTCTTCCGCTGCGCGGCGTACTCATCCAGTTCAGCTCCCGAACGCAACAAATAAGCGAGGAAGGTATCGGTTAACGTCACAGAGTAAATGTTTTGTATGGCAGCAATCTGGCAGCGCGCACGACCAAAACTTATCAACGATCGTCCTACGAACCATCATTCTCAATATCAGAATAAACCAGCAAGAAATAAATCATATACGAACCTAAAGCGCTCGCATCCCCAAGCTCCTCTCCATGCTTTTTCATCACCATCCCCAGCGCTTCAGTCTGCATCATGACCTCCTCTTCAGGAAGCGCCTCAGACTTGTTCTTGAGCGATATATGCTCAACATAGTCCTTAGACGCGGTATACAAGCTACCAGCAACAACACGTAAATTAGTTAATTATAACCTTCTTTTCCTTATTGTGGAAAAAGGAAGCGTGTACTTACTTATCGATACCCTTCTTCCTAGTCTCCATATCTTGCTCCAACGCAGCAAACTCACTGGACGGTTGCGTCTTTTCGCGTGAAGATATGACTTCGCCAGCCCACTACACGAGTGCATTTTATCATGAGCATTTAACAATGTTAATCCACAGAACGTTGAGATAGCTCACTTGACGAAGCTTTCCAAGCTACCAAGTCCATCCAAAAATCTTCAACATAATCAACAATGAAAGCCTCACTGCAACGCACCTGTTTACTGGCCATGGCTGAAGGGTGGACAATACAAACAAAAACTCAAGATAGGACAGTGACACGTTGATTAAGAAGGGAGGAAGTAGCTATAAGGACGAGAAAGTGCCACCACAGAGTCCTATTATCGTTGTAAATGTAAGTGATGGTCCGAGGGAAAGAGGGAGACCGAGAAGGAATGAAGGAGAGAGGTGGGCCGACTCTGGTGGCGGAGGCCCAGTGGCCATAGCGGGTACAGTTAAGTAACTGCTTCGACGTAATACAACTTCTCTAAATAGACTCCGCCCAATCAGTGCGACCCTCTCACGTGTACTCCTCAATCTAAAACATCGCTCTGGCCCTGCGAGAACAATGTATCGACACAGCAATTGGATTTATAAAACGAGTCTGTTGTAACAAAGGCTTGCTGCTACTCCGAACTAACACCGTGGCTCCGCCTAGTTATTGAACAGCAGCAGCGAAGCATTTCCTCCCTATAAGAAACAACATACCAATGTATGCATGCATCTATAACCGTCTACTACCTGCACGATATCTAAAATACACAACCTGCTAACTCCAACACTCCTCAAATAATCTCCCACCATCCTGCATCCTCTTCAAGAACATTCTTGCTTCCTCCTCCTCCAACCCTCCAACCTCTCTAGCTGCGAAGAGTACAGCGTCCTTCACCGCAGCTGGCATTTTATTCGAAGATCTATTTCACAACAAAAAAATCTTGAGAAAAAAGGACAAACGCCCTTCTATACAAATTGAAGTTTTCTACGTACCCTGAGATGTACAACCATCCTTCCCTCCGTCCAAGTACCTCCCAAATCCTCTCCGCATCCTCTCGCATCCGATCTTGTACATAAACGCGCTTCGTACCCTCCGGACCATCACGAGAGAAAGCCGTCCGGTATGTTAACTTCTTGGCTTCTACCAAAGCTCGCCACTGAGATCCGTAATGGTGATCCTTCGACTCTGAACGACAGCCGAAGTACAGGGTGTTATCTGGATCGCATATTCAGTATACGCTCAATGGGTGTCAAGTAGCCGAACGTACCGCTCGCACCATCATGAACACGCTGCTCTATCAACGCACGCATCGGTGCAATCCCTGTTCCAGGTCCAACGCAGACGATCGGCGTCTCTGAATTCGTAGGAAGGGACAGGAAGCCCTTTTGAATGTTTATTCGTAAAGTGTCACCTTCGTAGGTGACAAGACGATGTTAGTGAGAAAATCTCTCAGAAATCCAAACAAATATTTACCTGGCCTCAGCGCAGCAAGGTACGTAGAACACACACCCCGTCTCGGGATCTTTAATTTGGTTCGATACCGGACAATAGCTACGCATAGATGAACTTGCTTTCTATGAACCTTACGAACACGTCAATTCAATTTTGAGATTCATCAAAATGACACACAGTAGAAACTCACCAAAGCAGAGCTCGAAATCGAGAATTGCCGTGGACGAAGCAAAGGAAAGACATCAAACATATACACCTTCGGAATCCTCACTGATCGAAATTCGGCGAGCACCTCTCGTATAGTCCGTCTTACGCGTCCGACATATTCGTACAATTCATCCTAAGATGGAGTAAATCCCTACCCATGCAAAGATAAAATGCTAAATAACTCACAGCACCCTCAGTAGTGCAAAACTCCCTTAATTTCTCCGATTCAAGTTCATCAGTCGCAAAGTGTCGAAGCATCCTAAAGAAGGACCGTCGAGGTATAGCATTTATGTCGAGATGTCGGGTGAAAAGCTGCCTGAGCGTTGTCACGGTCGGAAATGTCTCTGGGAAATGCCATACTTTGAACATATCCTTAGCAATAAAATACAGAAGACGAATGATAGGTTGTACATACTAGGATCGGTAATCGAAAGACGTATCTCTTCATCCGCAGACTCCAACCAGCCAACACTCTCGAGCAAGGACTCGACGTCCGACGCGGGTTGAACCGGGTGAATCACAGCGACGTCTCCTGGAGAGTAGCTATAGAGGTAATTGAATTGACCACCTGAAAAATGAACAAGGGGAAAGTACGTACATGACATCATCCTCCAAGTCGAACTCCATGTGCCTCGCGTCCTGGAACCAGTCCGGCGCAGTTATACGATCATTGAATCGCACAGTTGCCAAATGATAGCCAACTATGTCCGCTAAAGGGTCGTCATTCATAGGCGAAGAGGATCTGGACGAGCTTGAGATTGCTATTCGCGGAGGCGGTAAAATATTGACATCCTCAAAACTCGAGCCTGGCGGTGGAGGAAGTAGTAACTCTAACGTAGAGAAAACCTCCGGCATCCATACATCCAAAGCGCCTTCTGCGCTACCAAAACATCAAATTAGCAAAGCGTGCAAACAAAAGCATGTATATTACTAACCCAAGCGGATGTTGTTCATCGCCTTCTCCCCGTGTACATATCTCCCGCGCACCAAGACTCAACATTCGTCTTGATAGCTTCTTTGCAGCCCAACAAAATTTCTCATAAGCGCTATCCCCTAAACCGAAAACCGCAAAGTGGAGGTCCTCAAAGATGTCTGGCGGAAGATCCGCACGGAGGAGCATATTCCACATTGGAGTCATCGAACGCGGCTCAATACCAGAACCAGTTGTGGACACTACGAAAATGATAAGTGACTCATGAATGAGTTCTTCCTGTCGAGCCGTTGTGAGCATCAAATCTATGGCAGGGTTGTCTAGAGGCGTACTAGAGGATATGCGTCCACACTGGAGAGTCGCACAGTAAATAGTCGTCGTCGAGCCTCTCGCACTATCTGTTCTGCTACGTCGAGGGCATTGCCTGTCTCTGTGGCATATAGAATGAGAACGTCCCGATCTTGGTCGTGGCCGTCTAAGGTTAAGTTTGAAATGCCAGCCTCGACGGACATGGTCGTGATGGTCCTTGCCAAGGTAGGTAAAAATTAGGCGTAATCAGATAAGATCTTCATCATAAAGACGTGACCAATCTTTTCCCATACAAACACATTCTCATCTTGTAAGTTGTATTCGGACTACTTTCATCGTCCAAGGAACTCATCTTCGAGTATACTGCAGCTTCAAAGCTAGTTCATATTTCTAATTTAACTTTTCTAGGATACTGGAGCCAGCCCATCAGTTGCCCCAAACGCGCAAAATTATGTGGCACCCAGAAAGATATCTCCTCCGTGTCTCCGTCTTAATCCCAAGCCTCGACTGAGTACACCCATCAGATACACCGATACCGGTACAAAGTGCTCCACTTCATTCACTCTGTAGATACTACTGTATGCATGAACAGCTCACCATTCGGGCGTCTCCCAGTTGAGCTCATCCGCGAGATCTTCCAAGAATGCATCCCTGAATCCCCAAGCTTCAAACGCACCAGTGCTCCTCTTCTACTCACTCATGTTTGCCACACTTGGCGCACCATCTCATCCGATACTCCTCAGTTCTGGTCTCACATTGTCGTTCCGCGCTGGCAGGAATCTGTCGTGGGCGTCGACGAGCTTGTACAACTCTGGCTGTCCCGTACACAAAATGCGCCACTCACTATCGACTTCGGGCTCTTCAGCGGGCGAAATGTCCAAGCATGCAATGACTTGAAGCTAATGGGTGAGCTGTACCCTCTCATGAGCAGACTGCTTGCCGCACTCGTGCCACATCGTACACGTGTTCGGAGTCTCTGGGGTGTCTTTCCAACATCCTTCACTCCCGACGTTGGCATTCCAGAAATGATCAACGCAGAAAGGCTATTCTTCTATGGACTACCCAAACAAGACGAAATGCTTCGGATAAGAGAAGGTGAATCCTTCTGGGATACTCACAAAATGCTAGAACTTGGACCTGCCAGAGAGACGCTCAAAGTGCTTTCTGTCTGCGATTGCGCAGTGGATATCAACACCGTCTTATTGCAAACCAATCTTACCCATCTCGAGCTCTTCGATTTACATCACGACAGTGGTCTGGACCAAGAAACCGCCTTCGAACTCCTAAAATCAATGCCAGGATTACAAAAATGTGTACTAGAACTCACAAAGTTCGAACGTCTTGACTGGCGCGTGTCAAGCCCTCGCATGGTTCTCCCTAACCTCGAGCTCCTCTTCCTTCTCTGGAACTTCCCCGCAGACATCGGTTTGCTTCTCGATGGCATCTGCACACCAAACCTCATCCGACTCGGTCTACGCGGAACACCAACTATGGGTCCGCGTGCATGGAGCTCGCTCTACAACTTTCTCTATATCTCTAGGGCTCCACTCACCCGTTTATCTCTCGGAAGCTTTGGCGACGCCGACCTACGTCTACTCGACTGCCTCAAATGCTGTTCACACCTCATCCAACTCTCGCTCAATCACTGCTTCATTCCTGAAAGTATCTTCCACACACTCGCATGTGCACACGACTCACCTCTTCTCCCTCGTCTTGAGATGCTCAACATCGTCGCATGCGCAGGATTGAACGCCGAGAGCATCGCCGCATTCATGAAATCCCGAGCAAAAGACTTACCATCTGGGATTTCGCGATTGAAAGAGGTCGAGATCGTCAATTGCCTCAATATCACAGAGTATCATATGCCGTTACTTCACTCATGCGGGGTGGAAAAACTGTATCTCAAAGTGACGGGCGATTTTTTACAGTAAGCTAAAATTACAGGGATTTTACTATTTTCGAACATCTGCTATTCGTATTCATGGATTATCTATCCGGAGGAAATCAAGGAAAGGATATTTATAACAATACGGTACTGACCCCATGTATTCATATTTTGCACTTGCAAATGTCCATGTATGATTAAATCTATCGCAAACCGGTTCCCTAAAAAGAACGAAATGCCCGAGGGATTTGGGCTGATTCGTTATGACACGCAGACACCTACGAATGATTGAGGCAGCCAGAGAAATATTCTATAAAATAATCAGGTATGACAAACCGCTACCAGCAGACTGTACTACGAATCCACGTCCCTTTACGCGATCAAAATGTATATAAAAACATAACATAATTTAACAAGGGTCGGCTCGGTCGGGAAGAGCTAAAGGTGAAGAAAAGGAAGAAAAGGAAGTAGACTGAAGAAGAGGAGAGAGCAGAGGACGAATGAGCATGTGCGAGTAAAGGAGACATGTCTTCTTTGCACCAGCAAAGATAGTCTGCGCTTTACATGACCATAGCTCCCACAAGCGCACCCACAGCAGCAACAGCGACGGCAAATGCCTGAGCCTTTGCATTCTGGAATCCAGCATTATGACTATCACCACTCTGGTCGGAGATTTCGGCGCTCTGTGTCGGGTTGAAGTCCTCTGTGTTGAGCGGGAGGGGAATGGCAATCGTGAGTGTTGTGGTGACGTAACCTCCGCTGAGATGACCATGGTTGCCCTGGGTGGAACTACTTTCATCATCACCTGCGCTGAAGGTCCCGTGGTTGGGAGCACCGGAGAAGCTTGACCAGTCGTCAGTCGGGGATCCGTGCTCTGAAGATGAGTTGTCGTTGCCGTCGCCGATACCAGGGATGATGTCGTGGTCTTCATCGTTGTTGTTGTTTTCATTGCCGTTGCCGTTTTCGTTATTGTTCTCATTGCCATTCTCGTTGTTGTTCTCGTTGTTGTTCTCATTGTTGTTCTCATTGTTGTTCTCATTGTTATTATCGTTATTGTTTTCATTGTCGTTGTTGTTGTCGTTGTTAAAGTCGCCAGTGGATGTCGAACCAGGGCCTGAGGTCGTTTCACTCGGATTATTGGCGTTTGTCCACCCGTCATCGTTCCCGGTTGAGGACGGGTTAAAAGAGCTAGACTGTCCATTACCTTCGGAATTGCCCTGCGTGCTAGCAGGGTTCAATTCCCCGGAACCGCTGACAATGTATCTAAGTCAGCAGGTCCTCAGCACACATACTGCAAGTTTGGCCACTCATATACAACGGAATGAGTACTCACGCAGAATCGCTACTCCCAGCAAGCACAGACAGCGCGAAGTAAGGAATTAAGATCGCAAGATGCGTGAGCTTCATTGTTCTGGTATTAAATGCAGGGTGTGTTTGTCAAAAGGTACGAATACGGTGACCACTGGCTGCCTAGAGGAATCGAATGAAGAACTTTGAAGAAAGTCGAAGGCAAGAGTCCTAGGAAGGTGCAGAGTTGACAGTATGTGATTTATATCAGGGATTACAGGCGCCAACTGTCCTCAGCTCGTTTTGCGCGCACAAAGATGAGAACGAGGTTCGAGGAGTCGCAAAGCAGGCCTGAGAAGGGACTTCGGCATACGCAAAGCATCCAGGACGTGGAGTCGGGCAAGTTGCATACAGCCGTTTTGAGAGATGATGTTGCGCTGTCTTGAGTTCTCATCATGTGCATATACGTTGTCCAGGAAATATGCGCAATATTCTGAAGTTTGCTATAGAGCACCTGCTGTCCCAGGTCGGTGACATGGCAGAGCAAACCACGGAGTACTTCAAGGCATTCCAGGCGTGAGTGATAGACGCAGAATGCACTTGCGATATGAGTAGACCCATGCATCCTGACATTAGATTTAGGCACTTGAGATCAAGTATGGTGTTTTCTGATGTGGTTTTCATCAACAGCCAGGTGATGTTGCAGCAGCAAAGCAAACAATGGTATCACATGTCGGGCTACCTCTAGCTTTTAGTGATTCGATGAGGTTGGCCTTGCGTGCTTAAAGGTTGTAGTATAGAAATGCGTACTTCTTGAGTAGAAGGCACCACTGGTCCACTCTAAAAGAGAGAACGAACTAATCTGACGATTCACGTCTTTTGGAATTTCGCTGCACGTGACCGTGAAAGTAATTTCCTATTTCAATTTATTACAGCTTGTGTTTGAGCGGCTGAGCAATTCCATCAACTCTGAACTTCTCCGACTATCTGGGAATTCTTTGTGCAGCTGAATTACTTGGCTTGCATTGCTACTATGCAATACTACAACTTCTGAGTCACAACGTCTTTCCCCAGTGGGCATCGCACTTTTGAGCACAATCTGACAAGGGAATACAATGCCGTGCAGGGTTTATAATCGAATGCAGGAACCTACGATAAACTTAAATATGCGTCTTAGGAATAAATTCAAATACATTCCCGTGCACGTTTTGATGATGGTGAATCCCCACGAGCTTCGTAAGCGACTGTCAATCAATTGAGTTAAACGTTTCTATTTGATGCGTCCAACGCCGGAGGGAAGCGAGTTTCTGGCGCTGGGAGGAATCGTGCTCAATAATCGGGTTGATTCTGCCTAACAACGATTATGAAACTTGATTAAAACCAGAGACGCATCGATAAATTGGAAATGTCTCCCTATTACCCCCTTCATGGCCTCTGCTCCTACCCGCCTGGACGTAACAGGTTCGCATTTTACTCTTGTCTTATTACTACTGCACACTGATGGGCTCAGCAGTGATCCGTGCCTCTGAAGTAAAATGGGACTCAACCCTTCGGAGCAAATTGCCGAATCTATACGTTCAGATAGAGTTGGGTAACGAGAGTAGACGAACGAAGACTATCAAGAAGAACCTGTCTCCCGAGTGGAACGAATGTCTCTCATTCAATCGGTAAGTAAAGCTCCTACTTTAGCGGAGGGTTTCTTTCTTAATGTACATCTGCAGGCTGTCTACAGACGAACGGACAATGATTATCATTCAGATTAAGCACGATTCGTCACGTTGGATGGATAAATACCTGGGAAAGACTGAAGTGGAGCTTAAAGATTTATTAGGGATGTGTTCCGATGCGAAAGGTATGTGAACTGGTTATCACTGACGTTCCTATACACTTATCGAATACGACAGAAGTGACGCTTCTTCTTGAAACTCATCGGGGTTCTCCGTCGTTGAAAATTGCTGCAGTCCTTCATTTGCAGATAGAGGCCATTGCCATTGACTCGGTAACGATGGTTGGCAACAACGTTAAGGCTACCGAACAAGTGGTCCAGCAGAGCGGAATCTCAAGCTCGGCAGCTGCTACCGATTCGGCCCCTGTTGCGTCTGTACATGCTGCGGCCGATCACTTTTCAGAGCACACCGATTTGTACGAGTCTGCGGGAGCTCTTGTCTCAAGGCTGAATGTGTTCGTTAGTTCCATGGACGCATTATCACAGGTAATCGCGTGCTGGTTCTCGAAGTATCTTGATCGTCGCTAAGAAGCTCTAGATTCACCCGTACGCCAACTTCGCGTGGCAGTTGGCCTCGGCACTGTACAAGGTGTGTTTGTGAACAAAGCCTTCTACTCGACTTGACGTTATCTGCAGGTTGTCAGGCATCAATTTGAAGTCGACAAGAAGGTCGTCGAACTCGTACATGCTATGAGGAACGCGTTTGATTTTGTAGATGAAATCGATACTCTTCGCAACAAGGCACAAAAATTCGAGGCCTCGATTATTCAACTGTTGGAGCAGACCGACGAGTGTTGTCTCTTCATTCAAGAGTACGCGCGTCATAAGTTTGCAAGTAAGTCCATTTTTACCACAGTATCACAATACCAGTCATAGTTGCTTAATGTCTGATGTCACGTCAGGACGAATGCTCATGCTGAACGTTGATGAGACGATCGATAAGTTTCTAGACTCACTTCAGTCACTCAAAACCTCGATAGACTCCGAAATTGTTGTTCATATTGCTTTTGTCTCGTCTCGGATGTCTTCCAAAGTCGATGTTATGTGTGCGTATCCTGCCGTTGCAATACAAGAACTCCTCTAAAGCAAGTGAACTAGTTCTGAAGAGTCAGCTCAACCCAGACGAGATGGATGCATATCACCGACCTCATTGCCTTCCCGGAACACGAGCGAATATCCAGAATGAGATCGTGGAATGGGCGTCCGCGTGCACGGATCAAAATATTTTCTGGCTTCACGGGGTCGCAGGATCTGGCAAGAGTACCGTTAGCACAACGATTGCAGAGCATTTCCGCACCATATCTCGTCTTGGTGCACATCTTTTCTTTGAACGCGGCAAGAGCGATCCCAGCTCTGTCATCCGGACGCTTGCTTATAGGCTTTCCACATATGACTCTTCCGTGGAAAAACATGTCAGTAAGGCTATTGAACAAGACAACGAGATTGCTCGGGCAACAGCGGTAATGCAGTTTAAGAGTCTCCTCCATGGTCCTCTGTCCCTAGCTGCAAATTCCATGCAAGGACCTGTTGTTATTGTTCTCGATGCACTGGATGAATGCGGCACGGAGGCGACAAGACAAAGCCTACTGGAAAGTTTTCGAACAGGGTTGCCATTACTGCCAAAGCAATTCCGATTTCTCATCACGAGCAGGAAAGAGCTGGACATCGACAGCGTCTTATCCTATCTACCAGATTGCATCCATGTCTCTGAGTTAGACCACGATTCGGAAAGCTGCAAAGGAGATGTGCTCCGATATGTTGACTACGAATTGCGCAAGGTATTCACAAGAAAGAGGCTACCAATCACGGATGACTGGCAGTGGAAAATGGAGCGCCTTACTGTGGCTGCGGATGGTCTATTCATATGGGCATCGACAGCAGTCAGGGAGATCAGCCGCAGCAGCCCGGCTCGAAAGCTACGGGAGCTTGTGTCACAAACAGAGGCTCTCGCGGGCCTTGACCTGCTGTATGATTCTGTGCTGAGGGGTTCGGGCATTTCATTCGATGACAAAGCATCCAAGGAGCACTTTGCTCGAGTATTGGGCCTACTTCTTCTTGGAAAGGCGTCATTTTCCGATCGCACAATTGATGAGATTCTAGGTTTCTCAGATGAAGAGCCATCTCAACTTATTCTTTCATGTTTACAATCCATTCTCGAGTATACTCCTGATACACCCGTTCGCTTTTGTCACACCTCCTTCCGCGATTACTTACGAGCACCAGAGCGCAAAGGTGATCCTTGGTTCATTGATCTCGAATCTCAGAAAGAGTCCATTGCTTCGCGATGTCTCGATGTCATGAGAGATGGTCTCCGGTTCAACATCTGCGACATAGAATCATCCTACGTCCCTAACAGTCAGATCACGTACCTTCCGGACCGCATCAAGGCTCACATTCCTCCTCAGTTGGAGTACACCTGCCTTTTCTGGGCTGAACACCTACATGAAGCACAATTCTCAGGCGAATTGTTGAACGGACTGTCACAGTTTCTTAGTATACGTCTGCTCTATTGGCTCGAGGTGATGAGCCTCCTGGGAAAAGTTAACGCCGCCAGTCCAGCACTCCTTCATATAATGAACTGGGTCTCTGTAAGTCTACAGGTGTGCTATTTGTGCCGAAATTCATGCTAACTATCCACTAGTCGCACAACGCGGAGGTGCTGACGGTCCTCAGAGATGCACGAAGGATAATTACTCGATTTGCAGTTCCTATTTCGCAATCTACGCCGCATATCTATGTATCGATCTTCCCCTTTGTACCGATGGTGTCGCCATCCATGATCCATAACGTGAAGCACGATTTACTTGTACAAGTAGATCAGATAGGCGAGAAACAGCAGTCGCCACTCTTGATGGAGCTCACGGGACATAAAGGCTGGATTCGTTCAGTTGCTTTCTCACCCGACAGTACTCGTGTTGCCTCCGGCTCTTGGGATAAGACGATTCGAGTTTGGGACGCTGAAAGTGGACAACTCATTGCCGGACCTCTTGAAGGGCATGAAGATGAAGTACGCTCTATTGCTTTCTCTCCGGACGGCGCACGCGTCGTCTCTGGATCGGACGATACGACAATCAGAATATGGAACATTGAGAGTGGGCAGGTCTCCCCTGGCCTCCTTAAAGGACATACTGGCCCCGTTCGTTCAGTTAAGGTTTCGACGGATGGAAGACGTGTTGTCTCTGGATCTGAGGACAAGACCATCATAGTCTGGGACATAGCATGTGGACAACCCGTATCTGATCGTTTTGAAGGGCATACTGACATAGTGAATTCCGTTGATTTTTCACCAGACGGGAAACGCATCGCCTCCGGATCCGATGACAAGACGATTCGAATCTGGGATACTGAGAAGGGACGGACCATTTGTGGTCCTCTCGAGGGTCATGTAGACATTGTGACGTCAGTCGCTTTTTCTTATGATGCAACGCGCGTTGTTTCGGGCTCCGCAGACCAAACGATTCAACTCTGGGACACTGAGAGTGGGAAGTGTATTTCCGGACCTTTCAAAGGACACACCAAAAGAGTAAATTCAGTTGCTTTCTCACCAGATGGGAAGCGTGTCGTCTCTGGTGCTGAGGACAGGACAGTTCGAATCTGGGACATTGAAAGCGGGCAGGTCATTTCCGGTCCGTTTGAAGGTCACACAAATCTTGTATCGTCTGTTGCATTCTCTTCTGACGGAACGCGTGTCGTCTCGGGCTCCTGGGATTACATGGTCCGAATCTGGGACACTGAAAGTGAACAAACCGGGTCTGGGGAATTTAAAGGGCATACTGGTGCAGTATATTCTGCTGCCTTCTCACCTGAGGGGAAACGCATCGCCTCTGGATCACTCGATGAGACAATTCGAATCTGGGACGTCGATACTAGGAGCACAGTCTCTGGACCTTTCAAAGGGCACTCCAATATGGTCTGGTCCATTGCCTTCTCCCCGGATGGAAGGCATGTCGTCTCCGGCTCTGCTGATCATACAATCCGTGTCTGGGATGCCGAAAGCGGAGAGGTGGGTCCCGGGCCTTTCAATGGACACAAAGAAGGGGTGCGGTCCGTGGCCTTCTCCCCGGATGGGAGACGTGTTGTGTCCGGCTCCGATGACAAAACCGTCCGAATCTGGGACGTCAAGTCTGGACAGACAATTTCCGGTCCTTTCGAAGGACACGACGACGGTGTTTGCTCTGTCACTTTCTCACCTGAAGGGAGACGCGTTGTCTCTGGTTCATTTGACAAAACAATCATACTCTGGGACGCCGAAAGTGGCACAGTCATTTCTGGGCCCTGGAGAGGTCACACGCATTTTGTCCGGGAAGTGGCTTTCTCGCCTGATGGCACCCGCATTGTCTCTGGCTCTAACGACAAAACCATCTTGATCTGGGACGTCGCGAGCGGGAAGGTCATCGTTGGACCTCTCAAAGGACATACTGACATTGTTCGGTCAGTCGCTTTCTCTCCAGATGGAGCACGTATTGTCTCTGGCTCCGAGGATAGGACGATCCGCTTTTGGGACGCTGAGAGTGGACAGACCGTTTCTGAACCTCTTGAAGGCCATACGTCGGCTGTCTTTTCTGTCAACTTCTCGCCAGATGGGAAACGCCTCGTCTCTGGCTCCTGGGATCGCATAATCAGAATGTGGAATGTTGAAGGTAGAAATCTGATTTCTCTCTTGTTCAATAGTCTGTCACTGATAATCTGTCACTTACCTTTGCTCTCAATATAGATCCTATCTTCGACTGGACGATGGATAAAGACGGATGGATACATGGTCGTGAAGGGGAGCTGCTTGTGTGGGTTCCGCCTGATCTACGAACGACGCTTTGGCGCCCTCAAAATACTGCAATCATCAATTGCGCATTTTTGACAAAGTTAGACTTTTCGAATGCAACTCTAGGGGAACGATGGCAGGAATGCTTTGTCCGACCTAGATGATACACCATCATACAGCTTCTCTATCCTACGCAACATGAAGCATGGTTGTCTCTCATTTCACCATAGAAACTCAACTCGAGAATATTATGTAGTGATTAGTATACTTCCACCACAAAAAACAAGTAACATGAACCAAATGCCTACTACCACCTGTGGTCCGGAATGCAGTACGGAATCACTCATGTTCACGTCAAAACTCGATCAGTAAAAGTGAAATCACGAAAAATGAATTCAGTAAATATTATAAAAATCGTCCATGACCACTGACAAACGCCAACCAAGCGAAACAACACCATCGCCCCAACATATTAAAAAAATTGCAACACAGTCCATATAACAATATGCCAAGGTCCGTATTCAAAGTCTCTCCGAGCACAACACACTCGCATAACCAACAACAACACAAAATCAAGACGTCCAGAAAAATCAAAATCAAAGCAGATTATAAGAAAGTTAGACAAACACGTCTCTCACATCACAACAACCCAACAACAGCCAACACACCCGCAACAACACCAACAACCCCACTACTCATCGCCCTATTCTGCATAGCTGCCGCCGGGCTCGCCGAAGGCGCCGTCAAGCCAGTCGAAGAACCTATCGTCGTAGGAGGGGTATACGTCGATCCTGGAGGCGCGAGGTTGCGACTCGTCGACAGCCCTCCAGTTGTCTGCCCTCCTCCTCCAGAGTCATCGGTTGTCGTAGGAGGTGCAGGCGTTGAAGTCGTAGTTGGTGGTAGGAACGTTGTGTCCGTCGCGCTGTGCAAATAGTACGCAAAGTGTCGTTAGCATCTTTTCCCTCTTTCCTTCCCTCTCTCTCCAGACCGTGCCTGGACTGGAAATATACGTCCCAGAGAGACTATCTATCAGAACATTTACTCACGTAGTAAGCGTATTCGTAGCAGTTGTCAGAGTGTTAGTACCAGGTAAGGTAGGTACCCCCGTCGGTACACCCGTTGAAAGCGTGGTTGAAGTATCAGTGACCTAAAACACAACATCCATCAGCTCTCTTCTTCTCAAAGCATAATACTGAAAACTTCTTTAAAAAACGAAAAGAACGTACCGCAGGGGTCGACGTAGTAGTATCCCCAGGTCCTCCTCCTCCCTGTGCAACAACAAGCGCAATAAGCGCTGTCGACACGAATACGCTCTTCAACAGCATCATTCCAAGGAAAGTCAAATCAAGCTCAGAAAACAGGTATGCGTCGTGCAAAGTAAGGAGCGACTCGGGTCAATTTAGTCCGACCTGGTTTCGAATTGATATCTGTAACCTCTTTCTGATGTGTGTGCCTGTAGTTCACATATCTTATTTCTGTGAGTTCTCTATATCATCCAAAAATCAAGTTACCTATTATTAACAAACGTAACTAGCCTTATGAAGCCATCCAGCGTCGAGCAAGACAAGACCGGACCACTGTAAATTGGCTATTCAATGACTTCAACTTGCCGACCGCCGGAAACATGGCTATACAAACGGACGTAGCGATCGTCTTCGTAAACTCCGACTCTGGTGAACGATACATTACTTTCGACGGGAACGAGGGCGATCGCAAGAACCTCACTGCGTGGCATAATGGTGACGCGTTGATAGCTGCTGTCGCAGCTCAAAATGACAATACCATTGTTGTGGTGCATTCCGTGGGACCGCTTATCATTGAACCTTGGATTGAACATCCGAATGTCAGTGCGGTTGTATGGGCTGGTCTTGGTGGACCTGAGACCGGTAACGCACTTGTTGATGTGCTTTATGGCGACGTGAACCCGTCGGCGCGCCTTGCGTATACTATTGCGAAGAACGCGAGCGATTATGGAGCGCAACTCATTCTTGGAGGTGGTGGGAATACGATCTTGCAAATCCCATACAACGATAAGTGAGTCGCGAGTAATTGATTTTATGACACTCGGCGCAATACTGATTATTCACTCTTTCTCCATAGACTCCTAATTGATTACCGCTTCTTCGACGCGAATAACATTGAGCCGCGATTCGAATTCGGGTTTGGGTTGAGTTACACGACGTTTGCGTATTCCAATCTTCATGTGTCAGAAGTCCAAGGGGAATTTGCTTCGGCGAGTGTGAGCAATGCGTGGAAAGGTGGTAACCCGGGTCCAGGTGGAGAAGGCTCATCGGTTGCTTTATGGTGCGCTTTAACTGTTCATCATCTTACTTTTTATTTCATTCTTTCTCACACGGAGTGTCTTGCAGGCTTCATGAGCCCGCGTATAAGGTGACGTTTACGGTCAGGAACACTGGAGGCGTTGCTGGGACTGAGGTGAGGAGTTGTTCTGTTTAAGATCGAACACAGTCTAATGAAAATGTCAACGTTTTAATTTTAGATTCCGCAATTGTACGTGCACCACCCAACGTCAGCGGGTGAACCACCGAGTGTGTTGAAGGGCTTTTCGGATGTGTTCCTCCATCCCGGGCAGAGTCAGAGTGTGTCGATTACGGTGTCGCGGTATGATTTGTCCGTGTGGGATGTGGTGACACAGTCGTGGCGTCGTCCGAGGGGAACGATCAAGTTCTCGATTGGAGCGAGTAGTAGGGATATGAGGCTGCAGGGTGCCTTTCCTTCGTGAATGAATGAATGGGCATGTTTGATGGGCGTGTAAGGATGACTGATGATTTGTTTTCTGTTGCTTTGTCTTGCTTTCGATGAACGAACTAGGTTTTTTTCGGACCGGAGTTAATGATTTTAATCTGCCCACTCATTTTTTCCTCTCTTTCTTTCTCTTAAAATTGAGATGTAGAATTTGTTGCACAAGGACGTGGTTAATTCATCCATACGTAGCTTTCTAGAATGCTATCGAAACTGGACATTACCAATTTACAATGACAATGAGTTGTTTGAGTGGAGGAGAAAAGAAGTACTAAAGAGGTAGGAGGATGTGCGGAGCCGAGAGACCGCAAGGGGAATGTGGAGGAGACTGACGTTCGAGGGTGCTGGACATGTCGCAATTTGTGTGCTGCGCATCAATCCACATCACCGGGTAACTTCCTGTAAGTATCTGGAATGTTTTCCCCAAGTTCAAAAAACAATCGGACTTTTGACTATTTCACGCTCTTTTTCCGATAGAAAGAGGTCAGCAGCATCCGACTGGCTGTGCTCTACAATTAAATTGGGACTTAAATAATTTATATATATAGACCCAAGGGTCGGCGCATCATTCGCCTTGCTAGTAGTGCGCACACGAAGGGCAACTTCCTCCTTCCTCCTTTCCCTCCGTCGTCCGTCCGCCCGTCCGATTTCCTTTATATCTGAGAGGCAATTGAAACACGCACGTTAGCCGTTCCCGAACCCCATCCCATAGCGAGGATACCATCGTTCCCTCCATTATCAGAGAATTGATTGGGTCCTCCAATCTGTGGGCCGGCATCGGTACCTTAACGAAACATTGTCAACAGGAAAGCATAACGCAAGCATTCACACAAACGTACCGAAAAGTGTTATCCTCCTCGGCTTGTTGAGCGGAAGTGTCCCGTTCTTGTTCTTTAGCAACACAGTCGAAGCGGCTCCAATCTCCCGGACGAGCCTGTTCCCAATTCAACGATCCACCAATATTTTTTATTTTAATACTAAAACTCACTTATCATGGTCATCCTGGACGTCCACATTTTCATTCGTTGCTGGGTCAACAGGGTTGAAGGCATTGAAGTTGACAGCAGGATAATTTTCGTCCTGATGAAGGAAGTACCACGCAGCAGCAATGCGCGTCGCCATGTCATCCAGACGTGCCTCGGCAATAGACCCGTTCCTCACAAAGTCGGTGAGATTTTGACCCCACCATGATGTGCCCGAGTTGAAAGTAATGTCACCGGGCATTGTCATCTTTTCGCGAAAATAAATTATCAGCAGGTGTCGTCGCAAGTGAGAATAGTCCATTTACATCCAAGCCAAAGATTGCGCTAAGAGTGGAGTGCTGCGCCAACCAATCTGACATGATGACTGGAAAGTCGGACAACAATTAACCAAAGAATACCTATGAAGGTAAGTAGACACTTACAACCGCGGAATCCGATTTCGCCCTTCAAAATCTGGTTCAGCGTCCGATCATTCTCGCACGCATGAGTCTCATTGATTTGGTCTGTGAACGGGAAGGTACAGAGAAAACCGGCGAGTTAGATACAGCTACTTCCTGAGGGAAGTTACTCACTGTATGGGCACATCACGCTTGCAACACCAGCCATGACGCTCCTCAAGAACGGATGGGTATATATTTCATGTTGAGTCCGGTCATCAACATTTGAGCTCTCCACGCCACGCTTATGTTCTTGCTCACTGATCAAATCATGCACAACATTTTGTCAGTCCTACATGAATAATGACAGTTCAGAGAAACGTCCTTGTTGACGTACTTGTTGACATAATGTTTTGCACAAGCCTGAACTCCGGAGCTCTGCATTCCAAGAATAGTCTCATACGCAGCTTCGCCGGCAAGGAAAGGATCAGCACCGAATCCTTCCCAGTTTCTGCCACCCTGCACAAAAAAGTTCAGTATCATTATCGGCAATACCTAAAAACATAACCCACCTGTGCAACCCTTCCAAGGTTCATCATTGGTCCGAGTGCGATATTAACACCTTTCCCTTTGTGCTCCTGGCCCATGGCTATACCTCGTTTTCTGATAAGACTACGTTGCCACGTCGTCGCGGCATTAATTCCAGCAGGGAATACCGTCGCGAAATCCGTGTCGCGTACTCCGAGAGGAGAATCCTAATATTATATGCTACTTATTAGTCTTGCTTACTAAGATAGATAATAATAGCGAACCTCCAGGCAAAGACCTTGCCATGTCCCCGATCCGTCAAGTGGAACAGGAGGAGTATTCCCAACACAACGTCCGCCTTGCCATTCCACACCAGTCGAAAAATTGACCTTTCGTTACAAAGTATGTCAGCAAAAAGTTACACTAAGCAACGAAAAAGTCATAGCACTGCGCACCTTTTCCTCGATACTGAGTCCGCTTATCAGGTCTCTCGCCTTTGACCACGCAGCGCTCCACGCGGGGTTGAAATCGGGGATGACTTGTGGGTCCGAAGAAACATCGGGCGGATTTAACGGGTCTGTAGCTGGAAATATGCCTACAAACAACAGGACATTGAGTCATTGCCGAAAGTGTGGGGTGGTAATCACGAAAGGGCGTATCGGTGAGCAAAGCCCGAGAAGCAAACTGCGCGCTCCAAGGGTATTTCTCCCACATAAATATAAATAACACATGACACATAGCATGATCGACCACGTTCACGGAACGTGCATGCAATTGCGAATACCAAAAGCAGAATCACAAGAAGGAAAGGGAGACGTACCACCCACAGGTCCCTGCGTTGGGCTGGGGAACGGGCTAAATGTATGCGTCACCGCTGGATTTGCGGATGGTTGGACCGCAATACCGCCAGGACCGGTGCCACTTGCCGTTGAGCCAGGCGTAAATGACGCCGAGAATGTTGATGTCACATTCGTCGGGATCGCCGACAAAGGCGGGATGGAGACCCCTGTCGACCCAATGGTCCCGGATGCGGTCAAGGTCGGCGTGAACGAGGCATTGGGCACCGAGAGCGAGCTCGCGAGAGTCGAACTTAAGACGGTGGACTCGCTCGGCGCGTTAGCAGAAACCGTGCCTGTGCGGCTGACCGAGGTCAAGTGTGAGGGTGTCGACAGCACCGACGAGGCGGTCGCGAATGAGCTCGTGATGTTCGATATGCTTAGCGGGTCAGAGGGCGTAGCGGCAGACGCGAGCCGGAAGCATGTTTGCGACGCGGCAAGAACACCAAGCACGATAGCACGTCGAGTTGAGAGCACCATCGTTCGTCAACGACGCGTTGGCGTCGTCGTTAACAGTGCAGGCGAGGTTTCGACAAGAGAGTAGGAGACAAGCCCGAGCAAGTGCTGGGGAAGTGCTCCATTATGTATGTCAGAGACTGAGCAGTGAGCAACATTTCGAATGAATCCCGAATATATTTTTCGAAGGATGATTGTAGCTGATAAAATATCCAGTGCCACCAGTCCCGTGACTATTAAAGACATTATATTCACTTCCAAATATGGAAAGTTGTAATGTGTACTTATAAACTCTTAACTTTTTACATCTAAGCTCTGAATCCTATAACCCAGAATGACTCTGACTAACCACTTATGTAATTCTAGCACACTGTGGCCCTTGTCATGGTCATGGACAGAGTGAGAACTTAGGAGGGGGGGAAGGGGGGGAAGGAATGTCAAGCAGTTTTCCACATAAGACTTTCACTGTCACCTATTCAAAATATAACATTTATTACTTTTCTCTTTATACTGCAATGAGTACAAATAAAGGTATTACCCACCTTGTAGCATTGTGTACCTGCGATCCAATTACATTTCCAAACATCCGAGAACCCACCATGCGCAGCCGAATAGTTTCCGATTCTTCTGATCTGTCCGGTCAAGTCGGGAGGTTCATCAATATTCTCTCCTTTTCAATAAAATCAACGCATCTATTAGCCTTGGCGCATATACGGTATACCATTGCAATGGAAGAAACGACCAGGCCAGACTTACGAAGAACAGCATCAATAGACTGAATTGCTTCTGTGAGTTTCCTAAGATCCGCAAGTAGCTCCGCGCACTTCGCACTGCGAGCGGGCCGACGACAATGATCTTGGCGAGGCGGAGAGTGCAACTTCGAAACGGTGTTTTCGGGAACGCGAGCTTGAGAGTGCACTGAATATCGACGGCTCGCTTGATTTGTTGTACGTGAAAAGATAAAGCGACGAAGATAGATTGCTTTCTTTGCGAGCTATGAGACTCCAGGTCTCACTTTCGCGCCTGAGCAACGTCTGTTGAAGTCTATTTGGCTATCAAATGAGGATCCTCACGAATTTGAACGTCGACATACCTAACTCATCCACCAGGGCAGCGAACTAGCTAAGTCCAAGGTACTCGCGTCGCACTCCTCGGATTCGAAGATATCCGCTAATACACAATCACCTGGTACCAAATGCGACAACGCACGAATCCACACATCCAGCTGCTTCCTATCATAGAACGTCAACGCAATCGTACTGAGCGTACTTCCTTCATGACCCGAAGTCCACGTCAGATTAATCACGAAATCATCTGCAAAATGGATTACATCCAAAGTAAGAAAACGAAGTCAGTCGTCGAGAAGACACAGAAGAAAAGCCCCCGAAAGGCACGGACGGGAGAAACATATGTGTACATACCAATATCCAGCCGAGACACGTGTACAATCTCCGCCAGCGAAATAGCACGCAACGTATTGCAGAACCAAGATCCCATTGTTTACCGGGATTACAAGTTCGGAGCTCATGGGATGAAAGGAAAGCAGAAGAGCCTTCTTCCATAGTGGGTTTCCCAAGGAGAAGAACGTCTTGAAAGAGGGAAAGCATAGACAAAGAAACCGGCAGGTTCGTTCTTTTCTTGGGTTTGGGACTTATCTGACCCGCCTCCGTTGTGGACAGTGTTGTTGGAACCGGAAGAATTCTGGAATTGTGTGCGGAAAATGTTGTCAAGGGACGAGTTCACCGAGCGAAAGGCACTCCGGGTTTAGATGCGCATATGGTGTGTTGTTTCGGATGAATCGTTTTGCGAATGCCGTGCGCTTGCACGCTTGCTTCTCATTATTTCAAGTATATCATCCTTGAGATTCTGTAAAGCTAGGTGTGCGGGACATAGAGCATCAAATACCGGAGTAGTCTTGATAGGATGTGTTGTCTCCAGTGCCGAATTTCAAGTTCCAGCGCGGTAGGCGTTGGCAATATAGTAAGTATCAACATTGACTCAAAATATTTGAGGAACTTACAGAACAAGTATTACAGTTGTTTTCAAAATTGTTGTCACACACGCAATTCGTGATTTTCGTCACACTAAGTACACTCAAATACAAAATCTACTATATCTCAACTAATACTTAACCAAATTACATGATCTAAGTTGTAAAAATTATATTTTTAAACTAACTTTCATATTCCAGGAAAACTAAAGTGAAATGAGCAAAAATTGAGTAAGATACAACACAAAATGTGAGTTTTCCCTATATTTCATGTATATGAGTTTTCCTGGCCCCAAAATTGATTGTACAATACTATAAGCTAATCTAAATGATGAATATTACTTTATTATTAATTTACATATTGAATTATAACTAAGGTACAGAGTATACATATAAGTATAATACATATTTAAGTTTGCTAAAAAAGAGCATTTTCCCCTAACCTCTCTACAGTTAGGGAAGCTTCTCCTAAGTACTATTTGTGTTTATAAATT